CGTCCTGCGCCTCCAGGGCTGGCGTCCACACCGGCCGGCACCGGGTCCACGCCCAGACCTAGGAGAGTCCGTGGGGAGAGCATCAGCCGCAGAAAATGGGGGCTGAGAAGGCTACCAAGGCCGGCTGGAGGACCCGACCCCGCCTCTCTGGGGTCCCGCCGCCCCAACCTGTTGGCCCTGGCCTCGGGAACCCCTAGCTAGCTTGAGACTGCCCACTCCCGCCCTACTCCGCGTCCATACTTTCCACCCCGCCCCCGACCTCAGTTTCTACTCTTGCTTCTGACTCCACCCCTGGCCTCTGTGTGGTCCAGCGTTTCAAGATGTTGTACCCACTGTCGCGCTACTGGCCTCAAATCTACTCTCCGACCTGAGGCTGGTGGCCAGGCTGTCCCCTCCCTCTGTAGCCTTAACTCGGACCCTGTCCCAGGTTTCAGGGGCACTCCACCTTGGATTCCTACTTCCCTCCAGTCCTCAGCCCAGCATGGTCTGACACCTCCCACCATGAGCTCCGCCCCCGAGATATGGCCACGCCCCTAGCCTCAGAGTACACCCTAGTATGTATAATCGGTGCAGTGACTTCGAGCCTCAGGTTTCTGGCTTCTCTACCCTCAAGCTTTCCGCCACCTGCCTTCAGAATAGTGGGTCACGCTAAGCTTAAGGCATCTTTGGCTTGCCGGCTAATCTCAGGGCAGTGTGGTCAAGGCTTTTCCATCTTCCCCTTACCCAGCCTCAGGCCCCGCCCTGCCGCAGGTCACGCCCATTCTCCTCCCCTCTTCCCTCCTGGCCAGCCCCACCAGCCTCACCGGTCTTAAGCACTAGCAGGTGCAATGCGTCGTCCTGCAGGTAGGAGGCTGCAGCGATTTCGTGAGTGGGGATACGCAGGATGAGCTCCTCGTTGTCCCGCCAGGTGAGCAGCAGGCAGCGGGCAGACAGGCTCAGGATGCTGTCCTGCTCCGCTGTGGTCTTCAGCGGCAGCTCCTTTAGCTGCTGCAGGGAGGTTCGGTTCTCCTGAGTTCCCTGGGGGCCGTGGATAGGAGAGGGAAAAAGAGACCAGACCCTTCCCTCCTCTCTCCCCAGAGCCTTACCCTAGCTGTGTCCAGCAGCTGCAGGAGTTCATCCCGACTGGAGGGGTTCAGTGAGGAAGTCACCCAGGTGAGGTGGCCCAGGAACTGGACAGGAAACAGGGTGGGAAAAAGGCATATAAAGGTCACCCTGAAACCTTGGCGGACACTGGCTTCCTCACTGACAGCAGTGAGGATAGATTGAGATAGAAATATCTGAATTAATGGCCACTTGATAATAACTTTTATTGACCCCATAATAGAAGCCAGGCACAGTTTCTGAGCACTTTCTATGTAGTCATTCATCCTCGCTTTAAGGATAAAAACCTTGCCCAGGATTATATGGCTAAATGGGTAAAACTGGACTCCACCTGCCAGAGTCCGCACTCTCAACTGCTAGCTTATATTACCTTAACACATAGTCATTTAGCTGTAAGATTTCGTAGGGAAGCAAAAGTCACTATAATAGCTTGAAAGAACTGACCACCTATGAATTTCCTCTGGACTAAGTGGCTCTCTCCACCCTAAGAATCATTGTCAAACTGATTGCCAAATCACTTGCCCTCCTTATGTTCTTGTTGCAGAAGTGAAATGAGAAGAGAAGTATGTTATATTAAATTAGTAGATTATTTTGTCAGAAAAATAATGCTGTCAATCAACAATTTTTTTCATTTTTAGTTATAGCCTAATATTGTCACTTAAAAGTTAGTCAATATAAGAATTAACTATTTCCATCATTTTTAGTTGTATTCTTCTACATGAATTCCACCAATCAAACCTTTTCTTTCTATTCTCTTTGAAATTTCAGTCCATAATTTTTAAGTGGACTTAACTTTTTTTTTGAGACAGAGTCTCACTCTGTCACCCTCGGTAGAGTGCCATAGCATCACAGCTCACAGCAACCTCAAACTCTTGGGCTTAAGCAGTTCTTTTGCCTCAGCCTCCCAAGTAGCTGGGACTATAGGCCCCTGCCACAACACCCAGTTATGTTTTTGTTGCAGTTGGTTATTTGGGCCAGGCCAGTTCAAACCCACCACCCTCGGTGTATGTGGCTGGCACCATAACCACTGTGCTATGGGCACCGAGCCTAAGTGGACTTACTTATTAGCTTTTCTGTCTGAATAGGATTGGCAGATAAAATATATGATGCCAATTACATTGGAATTTCTGATAAACAACAAAAAAATTTCAGAGTTTCTTAGTACTTTTAGTCCCTGTGAAATATTTGAGACATAATTATGCTAAGAAAGTATACATTACTCATCTGAAATTCAAATTTAGATGGCTTGTTTGCTAAATCTGATAACCCTTTCTCTATGATCTTCCTAGGCTAAATGAGGATCCCTGATTGCTCCTTCAAGGTTTTCATGAAATAGAAGTAAAGCTCTTGAATGGTCAAAGTCCTTTGTGGCTTGCTATTAACCTGGATACCATCTGAGTGACAACACGGTCAGTGTGGTAAAATCTCTAAGTTAAAGTGTGAAAGTTGTTGGAATCAAAATGGAGTCACTTGGGCTCAGCGCCTATAGCTCAGAGACTGGCTAGTTCAAACCTGGCCCAGGCCTGCCAAACAACAATGACAACTACAACAAAAAAATAGCTGGGTGTTGTGGTGGGCACCTGTAGTCCCAGCTACTTGGGAGGGTGAGGCAAGAGAATCGCTTAAGCCGAAGGGTTTGAGGTTGCTGTGAGCTGTGATGCTACAGAACTCTACCGAGGGCAACATAGTGAGACTCTGTCTCAAAACAAACAAACAAAAGAAAAACAACAATAAAAAACCCAAGATGAAGTCACTTGTGTTAAAATCAAAACAAAACCCAGAAGATACTGTAGAGCCCGGGAAGGCCATGAAGCAAGAGTTCTCATGCACAAGAACTATCACAAAAAACTGCAAAGACCACAACTTTGTACAAAGGCTATCACGGACTTACACACAAAACAATAATTCTGCAAAGACATCTGTGCAGCAACTGTCTGTTCAACCTTAGACCAGCACCAGCCTAGTTATTGATGCCTGTAGCCAGCGATAATTATCTCAAAACAATTAGGGTACTCTCATTTTTCCTTTAAAAGCCTGCCTTCCTTTACTTCCCTGAATGCCTATTCTCGAATAAATATTTTCTTTGAAACCGTCTCCCTCTGTTTGTTGTTTAGGTTGACAGAAGATAGGAGTTTTTGATACATAGAACCTTCTCCCATTCACTGTCCCCTGGGGGAGATGTCCAGCTCCATGCTGAGACGAGAACACTGGGGCTCAGAGGATGGAGGTCATGCTGCCAGTACACAGCATAAGGCAGAGGAGAGGCCGGCACCAACCCAGGGCTCATCCTGTGTGAGACAGGGCTGGCCAGGGGTTGGTGTCCGGAAGAGGTGAGGTCTCTCCTCAGCGCAAGGTTGTCCCCACCCTCCCTCTTCCCACACGCACCTTGACCTCCTTCTCCAGGTAGTCACACAGCAGAATCTGGGGGTCGATGAGGTAGTCAGGGGGATACAGGGGCATGGAGTGCAGGGGCCGGCGGCTTGCACTACTCCTAAAGGCTGCCTGGCGCCCGGCCTTGGGGAACACCAGTCTTCGGATAGGGGATACAAAGCCCTGGGGGAGGACAGGGGAATGACAGTCATAACAAACATTCATCATGCTCACTTTTACTTATATTACCTAATTTAGTCCTCGAAACAGCTCCACAGAAGGGGTACCTCTGTGATCCCCATTTTATGGATGAAGAAACTAAGCCCCAGAGAGGGAACTAGCTAATAAGTAGTAGTGGTGGAACCAATAGTTCGCCTTGGATAGTATGGGCTATAACTTCCATTCAAAACACCCAGGTGAGGTAGAGCCTCTGCCGACCAGGTTGAAGGAATGGGTCTAGGTTGGGGTGAATACAGAAAAATATTAGGATTCAGTGTGGCTGAGTGGTGGGTGCATAGGTTTTTGTAGGCTACTTTCTGTGCTTTCCTAAAAGTTAGAAATAATTAATAAGTACACTTAAGTATAACCCAGGGGCACCTGCTCAAAAATGGCCTGGTTCAAGGTTAAAATTACAAATTTCAGGGCCCTGGACTAAACCTATAGAATCTAAATCTCAAAATAAAGACTGAGCACACTCCAGAGCCACAGCTCCCAACATGTGGTCCCTGGGCCAGCGTTGGCAGCAGCATCACCTGGGAAGTGAGAGAAATGAAGATTCCTGGGCCCTTCTCATACCCACCGAATTAGAGACTCTTCAAGTAGGGCCAAGGAGTTAGGTTTTAACATACCCTCCACATGAATCTGATGCACATTCATGTGTGAGAACCATACTTCAGTGCTGTTGCTCCCAACCCTTGCTGTGTAGTTTAGAAATAAATATATTTCTAAAACTTCAGTTGTCCAGGCTACACCCCAGACCACTTGAATCAGAAATTCTGGGACTGGGGCCAGGTGCCATGGCTCTCACCTGTAATCCTAGCACTCTGGGAGGCTGAGGTGGGAGGATCCCTTGAGCTCAGGAGTTCAAGACCAGCCTGAACAAGAGCCAGATCCTGTCTCTGCTAAAAATAGAAAAAATTAGCCCAGCCTTATGGCCACTGCCTTTAGTCCCAGCTCCTTGGGAGGCTGAGGCAGCAGGATCACTAGAGCCCAGGAGTGTGAGGTTACAGTGAGCTATGCTTGTACACTTCACTCCAGCCTAGTCAACAGAACAAGACCCTATCTCTTAAAAAAAAAAAAGAGCCGGGGGAGGGAGAAGGGAGGAGGGAATGGGTAGAGGGAGGGGGATTGGAGGGATCACTTCTGAGGTTTATCTTACAGGGGTACAAGTGAATCTTTCTAAGAGTAGAATGTGAACGTTTTAAAACAATAACTGAGAAAATGACATGAAGGCTGTGTTGACCAGTTTGATGGAAGTATTTCGGATTGCATGTGAAAACCCCATACTGTACCCCAGAAGTGCATTAGTGTACATAGTTACCATTCAGAAAAAAAAAAATCTTCCTTAGGTAATTTCAAAGGGGACCTTAAGCTGAAACCACTGCATAGAATGTGTGGTCTGATTATTTGATTCTTGCATCATGGTAAGAGAGGTATGAACAAAATAACCCCACTGCTCTCAAGGAGCTCGCCTTCTAGTTTGGATAAGCAGACAATATGTAAACCCACAAATGCATGCATTCATCCACTCATTCATTCATTCATTCAGTGAACATTGATTCATACCTGTCTGGCTGGGCCCTGTGCTGGGTGTTGAGGATTCAGGGGAGACCTGGACGACCCCATCCCATGCTGGCCTATAGGGCTTATGATAAATGACCTAAACTAGTGAATCATAAACTTTACTGTGCCCATAAATTCTGATTCAGCTGGTCTGAGTTAGGGCCTGAGATTCTGTGTTTCTAAGGAGTTCCCAGCAGATGCTGATGTTACTGACCTGCAGGCCACCCTCTGAGTAGCCAGGATCTAAGCCATTGGCATCAACCTGGTGGGTGGGGCTGTTAGAAACTGCTCAGAAAGTGGGAGTGAGACCCAGTGATCTGTGTTTTAACAAGCCCTTCAGAGGATTCTGATGCATCTCAGCTCATTTTAGAACTAGTGTCATGGGGCCTGGATGTGGTGTGCAAATGCTCTGAGAAATGAGAGAGAACGCTAGAAGAAGGCATGCTGGGCGGAGGGCACGGTTTGTGTGGAATCCTGGCAGCTTCAAAGGCTGGGTCAGGGTGAGCCTGGGGAAGCCGTTTATCACAGCTGAGTTATGAGATGAACAAATCACAGAGGCCTTGAATGCCAGCTGTGGAGCTGGGACTTGATCTTGCATGTGTGAGTGTGAGTATTTGTGGGTGGCCCTGCCCACCTCTCCAGCCTCACCCCCACCCTCTTTTTCCCAGCTGCACGCCCATCTTCCAGTCCTTCCTACCTGCTACCTTCCTTACCCTGGTTTGTACATGCTGTTCTTCTGTCCCAAACATGCTTCCCGACTCCCGTCCATCAGCTCTCAACTCAAACCAATCAGTATAGGGCTGAGCACTCTAATAGTCTATCTTCCAGTACTGCGTATGGCACCTTTTATGCAATTTAACATTAATTTATTCATTATCTTTTTTAAAAATATTAATAGTTGTTTCCCCCACCAGACTTTCAAGTCCAGGAAGGTAGCAGGGTCCTTATCTGACTTTGCTTATCTCTGTGTCATCACCAGCACTGGGCACAGTGCCTGGCATACAATGGGTGCTCAATACATGTCTATTGAAAGCACGAAGAAAGAGCATGTGTGTGTGTTTTGGCTGCCTCTGAGACCTTCGTGATTCATGTAGACAACTTTGAGAACAGCCCTTATCCAGATTTTCTTGGGGGAAGAGGGATCTGTAAGACGGAAGTTGGAATCTGAGCAGCTCCCTGAACCCCAAAGACAACCAATGAGATGCCCAGAGAAGCATACTAGAAAACCTCTCAGCATCAGAGGCAGTGGGGGAGTGACCCTGGGCTGAGGCTGCAGGAGTGGGCCTCTTAAAGATGGGGAAGGGGTGGGGGACAGGTGGGAGAGACTCAGCCTGCATAGGCAATGTCCTAGCACAGAATTGCCCTGGCTGGGGTTCTTCTGTCTAGAGCAGTGGAGAGCAGGGAAGGAGTCTGCTGGATGTTTGTCTGTCCCTCTGTCTGAGAAGCTGCAGGAAGCAGGTTTGGAGTATCTCCTCAACTGACTGGCCAGTTTGGGGGAGGGTCCCTGCCTGTCCATCCCAGGGATGGCAGAGGCAACTGAGAACGGAGAAACAGGAAAAGGGAGTTTAGAGCCCAAATGTCTGGCTGTCCAAGGGTGGAAAGGAAGGTCCTTCCAAACAAGAAGAAATGTGCTACTTATGCCACCTACTGCCCACCTTCCCAGACTGTCCCCCTCCCCAACTTCGGGGACATATCCCTACCCTGTATCCCTCCCAACCTCCCACCTACCTTTTTCCCTTTCTTGACTTCATATTCCATGGTGAAGCGTCCCCTCTGCTCCTGCCACCCTCCTGGCCACCCCCTCCACCCCCCTACCCCAGTTCCTTTGTTCTTTTTCCTGCCTGGTCGGAAACTCCACCAGCCCTGGAGTTCCTGCCCCTCCCTTCTGATGGGGGTGGTGGAGGTGGAGGACACAGCCTTGAGCCCCTACAGCTGAAGGATGGGAGCCCAGGCAGAGCAACCAACTCGGGGACAAATGCTCCTGGCCTCCAGCCAGAAGACCTGCTGTTGAGGGGGCTTGGGAGCTGGGTAGGGTTGAGAAAGGGCCCCCCCCCAAAATTCGGAGTTATTACTTTAGAAAATTCCAAGTTTCTGTCCCATTTCTGCCTCTGACCTTAATATGTGACCTTGGCAAGGCCAGTCAATTCCCCCTTTCAGAGCCTATTTCCCTCTCCCCTCTATAAATTGGGAGTAAACATTGTCTCCCTCTCTGGGCTGCTGTGGTAAGAAACAAAGAAAAGAGTGGTGGAAAGTGCTTCATAAACCATAGAGAACTGTGTCTAATCAAGCTAGGATTCAAACAACTTAATCATTGGGCTCAGCACCCATAGCACAGTTGTTACGGTGCCGGCCGCATATCCCGAGGCTAGCGGTATGAACCTGGCCTGGGCCAGCTAAACAACAATGACAACTGCAACAAAAAAATACCTGAGTGTGACTGTTGTGGCAGGCACCTGTAGTCCCAGCTACTTGGGAGGCTGAGGCAAGAGAATAGCTTAAGCCCAATAGTTAAAGGTTGCTGTGAGCTGTGATGCCATGGCACCCTAGCAAGGGTGACATAGCGAGACTCTGTCTCAAAAAAAAAAAAAAAAAAAACTGGTTTCTTGTACCCTCAAATAATCCCCAACAATAAATAAAAAAAAAAAAAAAAAAACTTAATCATTAGTATTAAGGGAGGCAGTATTCATGGGCTTTAGCCACAGGCTGCCTGAGTTTGGGTCCTGGCTTTGCCACTTACTAGGGTTATGACCTTAGGGACATCCCTTAGTCACCTGTGCCTAGATTTTCTCATTTACAAAATAAATGTAATATTCCTTGTTAGTGTAGTGGGGAGAAAGAAAACAAACAAACAAAACCCCATAATGCTAGTTTGATCTCATAGTGATCTTGTAAAAATTAAATGTATTTACAGAGCTCTCGGCATATAAGAAGTTCTCAATAAAAATTATTCAGGTTGTCAACCTAAATAACAGAGAGGCTCTCCAAAAGAAAATCTGGGCTGGGTGCCATAGCTGATGCGTATAATCTTAGCCCTTTTGGAGGCTGAGGCAGGAGGATCACTTGAGGCCAGGCGTTTGAGATCAGGCTGAGCAAGAGAGGTACTTCATTTCTATACAAAATAGAAAAGAAAATTAAAAAACTAAAAGAAAAAAACAAAATAAAACAAAAAAAAAAGACTAGAAAGAATTAGATGGGCATGGTGACGAGTGCCTATAGTCCCAGCTCCTGGAGATGCTGAGGCAAGAGGATCTCTTGAGCCCAAGAGTTTGAGGTTGCTGTGACCTATGATACCACAGCACTCTAATCAAGGGTAGCAGAGTGAGACTCTGTCTCAAATAAATAAATAAATAAAAGAGTAACTGTTTACTTGGGGATAAAGTGCTGCAATGGGAATACATATGATATGGTAAACTATGTGCATATTCAGGGACGTAAAGGAAGACAAAAGTTTTTAAAGGAAAAATAAGGAGAATTACATAATCATTGTGAAATCATAAAGGGCCCAGGCTGCTTAGTGCTGGCTCTCACCACTCCCTCTCCTTCTTCCTACATCCTGCAGGCCACCTCCCAACAACAGGAAGTGAGATCTCCACTCAGCCTGCTGGGCCAACAGGAAGAGGCTGGGATGTCTGAGCCAATCCCTGCCTGACCTTGCTCCAGGTATCAAAACTTCCACTTAACCCCTTAAGCCTGTCCAGAATTCCCACCCTTGGAGTGGTAGCAGGGCATGCAAGGTCTCGCTCTGGCACCTGCAGGACTGACTTGTGCAGCCTTTCCCTCCTTCTGGGCCTCAGTTTTCCTCTCTATAACATGGGAACTTATGTTATTCCTGGCCTAATTTCAAATGTCACTGAACTGCTGGGAAGCTCAAATAGGACAACACGTGTTTTGAATGTCACTAGCAATGGAAAGCTATTTGAGTATTCACTGCAGTGCAGAGTCACGAACAGATGAAATGCTTAGTAAATGACAGTGGAAGTATCCTTTTTAGTATAATAGTGAGTAAAAATAAAAAAATATTTAAAAATCACTGGAAATAGACAGAGACAGAGGGACCTAAGTTCAAGTGTATATGACCTTGAACAAGTTACCTCATCTTTCAGAGCCCTTATGTGGCAAAAGCAGGATAATCATTGTGCCTGCCTCTGAAGGCTGCTGCAGGGATTAAACGGAAACAGAAAGATACGATAACATATATTATTAGAATTAGCTTGTGAATCAAAAATGAAATGAGCGAAACAAAGTCCCTGCTCTCAAAGTCTGAACAATACTGTTGTGGCAGATAAAATTCATCTCTTTTGATCCACCTCCAGTTGATTGGCAGGGGCTGCCCAGAGGGTTGTATAGAGGATTGTACAAACCAGGTCTGCTCCCAGCAGGGAAAAGGGATTGATTATCAATGGATGCCACTGGCAGGACGAAGGAAGGTGGCAGCAGGTGGACAGTACATACACTGACCCTGGTCTAGTTAGAAAGACACGTAGGCAAAGAACTCTGATAAAAGGCAAGCCTCTTGTTTGCAGAAGCCAGATTCAGTAGCCATTCCCCAAGCGCCCATAACAGTCAGGACAAAACCTGAAGGGTGAATGGAAGGAAGGATCCTCTAGGCAGAGGGAACAGCTTGAGCAAACACCTGAGTTCTGGCTGAAAGAACAGAGGACCCCACCAAATGTGGCTTAGACAAAAAAGACAATTCCTTCTCTTTCAAGGCAAGAAGCCCAAGGTATGCTTTCAGGGCTAGTTAATTGAATAGCTCAACATGGTATCAAGTTCCTTATATTTTCTACTTTTCTGGGGTTGTGGACTGAATTGTGTCCCCCCGCAACTTCTTCCCATATTTATTTGTTGAATACCCTAAGTTCCAGTGCCTCAGAATATAAAAGTATTTGAAGATAGGGCCTGTAAAAAGGTGATTGATGAAGTGAAAAAGAAGTTATTGGGGTTACCCTAATCCAATCTCACTGGCGTCCTTATAAGAAGAGGAAATGTGGGCATGCAGAGAAGCCAGGGTGCTGGTGCACAGAGGAAGGCCATGTGAGGACACAGTGAGAAGGCAGCTATCCTAAGGAAGTAGGTCTCAGGAGAAACCAACCTTAACACCTTGATCTTGGACTTCTAGCCTCTGGAATTGTTAGAAAATAAATTTCTGTTGTCTAAGCCACCTGGCTGGTGGTATTTTGTTATGGCAGCCAGAACTGACTACTACAGAGGAGATGGCATCAGGGGCCTTTGGAGTAACAGACATGATGCCATCTGGCAAGACAAGGCCAAGGGTTTCCCTTTTTGTGTGTCTTTGTATCATGGAGGAAAACCTTTCTTAAAGACTCGTCAAAAGACGTCCCTTAAGAACCCAAGGACCAGATGCATTAGCCAGGATATATGTTGGCTGTATCAAAGACCCAAGTAACAATGGCCTAAACATGAGAGATGCTTCTCTCTGCTTCACATAACAGTCAAGGCACAAACAGTTCCAGGGGGGTATGGCAGCTCTAAGTGTCTGGGACCCTGGGGCTCCCTATCTTGTTGTTCTATTAACTACGGCTTTGCTCTCAGCTGCAAGGTGGCTCTGCACACAGGTGGGAAGAGAACAAGATCCCTCCCTTTAAAGGGATGACCTGGAAGTCCCTCAAAATTCTACTGGTCATACCTCATTGGCAAGATCTTGGTTCTGTGGCCACGCTCAATTTCAAAGGATGCTGGGAAATGTAGTCTTTTATTCTGAGTGGCCACATGCCTAGTGAAAGGTTTCTTTATAGAAAAGAAAGGGAGTATGAATACTGGGGGACACCTAGCAGCCTGTACCTTGCCAGAACTGAGACATATGCTCCAGTCCCCATCAATACGGGTCAGGGAAATTATCTTAAACCAATGGTTCTCAAATTTGGGCATGCATCAGAATCACCTGGGAGGCTTGTCAATAGGATTGCTGGTCCTACCCACATGGTGGCTACTGATTCAGTAGGTCTGAGGTGAGGACCTAGAATCTGCATTTCTAATAAGTTCCCTCGGGCTGCTGGTCTGGGAACCACACTTTGAAAACCGCTGTCTTAGGCCAATCATGATTTGCCTCCTGGGGCCAGGTTGGAGTCACATTCCCTGGGTACTTTGGAAGGGGACCCCTAGGCAACTGGGGCTCTGCCTGCATGAAAGAATGGTGGGGAAAGCTGTTGGGTGGCAGTTAGGAAATTCTAACAGAAAGAGGGAGAGGCCGTGTAGGCCAAGTGGGGTAATGCTAGAGATGGGCCCAGTTTGCAAAAAGTCAGAGTCAGGCATAAGTGTTTGACCTTTATCCTGAAAGCACCGAGGAGGTGAGCCGTAGAAGGTTCTAACCAAAGGAAATTCCATGATCAGATTTGCAGAGGATGCCTTAAAGAAGTGATCCTCAAAGAGAAGTCCTCAGATTCCCTCCTACCAGAATCCCCTGGAGAACTTTTAAAATGTAGATTCCCAGGCATATTTGATCCACCACCCCCACCCCTCTCCCCCCAGTCCCCCCTTACAGAGATGGAAATCTGTGTTTAAAACATGCCCCCTCTTTCTAAGTGCTTCTGATGCACTTTGAAATTCAAGAACCACTGGATTAGAGAGTGGAAACCTTGGAGGGAGGGGATCTTAGAGGCAATACCCTCTAGGTCTAGAATGTAAGCTCCTTGAGGGCAGGGACCATGCCTGTTGGATACGTTTGCTATACCTACAACTTCGCCTCCCACACAGTATGCAATTAATATTTGTTTTTAGTGGAGTTCAGAACTTTAGTT